CAGCTTGAGTATAGAAGCAGGTGGAAAAGTGACACCTAAATATATACCTGATCTACCTGAATACACAGCTATTCCACTGCTACATAATATGCAAACCCATATAGCCACTTATGGCAGATCAGAACCAAATAAATTTACAAAAGTGTTTGACCAACATGACCAACTCAAACAAGAAAAGTATTAATAGCTGTGCAATGATTACAATTCATTTTCAACAAGAATGCATGTGTTGATGTGCTATTAACTTGTAATTCCAAGTATTGGAAAACAGGAAGCAGTTGTCTGACAGATATGAAAAGTATACACATGTACAGGTTACAACTCAATGTTCACAGATCACTCAGACACAGCCTCGAATTTTATCCATCAAACAATTATATCAGATAATCGATATGTGGGTCATCACAGAGATCTGTTTTACTTAGAAGCAAATGAATTCTATTAAAACTTATATAAATTTAAATGAATGTTAAAACAAGAATGCACACATCCCGCTAAAACAGAGGCGAAAGATACCAAAGGGACATTCAAACTCATAAGTCCAAAATAAACTGACAAGCCATGGCAGAATAGACCAAAAGAAAAACAACTGCTAAGCATTTTAACACTTGTAATTCCAAGTATCTGAAAAACAGGAAGAACGTGTCCTACAGACCTTAAAGTATTGGCATCTTACAACTCATCACTGTTAAGCTGCTGACCAAATATGAAGTCATTCTGTAGTTTTTGAGAAAAGAGTAACTAAAAATATTTGTTAGATGAATGAATAGATAAACAAGGTGATTGCAATAAAGGCCCTACTTTTACAAGTGTTTCACAAATACTAAAACAACAAAGTGTCCTTAGCTTTGCCATGAGCACAAATTATTATATTCATTTTCAATAATCTTATTAAGTTTAAAGAAAATGTGTTATATAAATTTCAGTAAAGGTGCAACAATTAAAGGAGTAGGGGCAATAAGGACCTTATTTGGCCCAAATATTACTGCAAATTTAAAAGTTATCATACATATTTTTAAATTTGTTCTAACTAGACTAAGGTACAAGGTTTTCAGAAAATAAAAACAAATTCCACATTAAATGAGCTACCATGGCAACAAATCATGACGAAATTTGTATATTTTGTAAAATTTCTTAAATTTCCTTGTTTTTCATCAAATTCTAAGTATATTTTAGATTGGCAAAGTATGTGCACACCCAAGAAACAACTTTATATTTGGTGAAATTATGTCAATAGTTATAATAGATTCTCTTAAATTATTTTGTTGTTTCCTGGCTGCGAACGGTTTTTCCGTAATGGAAATAACAATTGAAAATTGTGCAAATTCTGTATTTTGCATCGTTTTCATGAAAACGGTACATATTATGACGTAATTGTGACATCATCAGATCAACAATATTATGTTTTACATTTATATTTCTTCACTCTATGCATTTCCAAACATTATGTGCCAATTTGCAGTAGTCGTTAAACATTTTATTTTCTTGGGCCAAAACCAGGCCTTAATGCCCCTACTCCTTTTCCAGTACAGGCAGCTTTAAACAATTCTGCACATATCACTCAGACACAGCCTCCAACTTTATTTGTTTATTGTTTATTAAAAGAATAAAACCTTACAAATTCAGCACAGATCACTCAGACACAGCCTCGAATTTTATCCATCAAGCAATTTATCAGATAATCGATATATGGGTCATCACAGAGATCTGTTTTATTTTATATGCAGATGTATTTTATCAAAACTTACATAAATGCAATAAGAGTGTTAAAATACATTGTATATCTAAATTACTTCAAATTACTAACTACTACTTATGAATTTTTTATATTTTCACTTTTATAATTGCAAGTTTTGCTGATGGATCAATTACAAGGTAAACCTAACAATTTTCATTTAAGAAAGCAGGCTAAAGAAAATTACCATAACCACTGAATTTCAGGCTTGACTTTCACAATAAATCAAACTGAAATTGATGATAAGTATACTTGTAGTCCTACAAATTTATATTTTAATCCAGGACCAGGCTCCTGGCTTGGAACAGGCATATAGATGAAAAACCGCATTATAAGTGCTGTTCATTAGCTTTTTGTGTTTTTTGCTGTGCATATATCCATTTTGTGTCATGGATTGATACCCTCCAAATCCTTTCTTTTCTATTGCATAAAGGACGAAATGTTTGTTTTTTTTAAATTGTTTGTTTGGATACAACGGTACAATAAAGATACACACCTGTCAATTTGTGGAAATTTTGTAAATACTGAACTCTGTTTCATCTGCTCAACTACTCCCACAATTTTACAGCTTAGATTTTTTTGTTTTTATATTGGTACATATAGAAAAGGTGTGCATATTGGTATGATTTTATTTTCTTAAATTAATCGTTAAAGTTACAAGTAGATAAACTTGGTTAACTTTTTGCCATACATTTGCATTATCATGATTATGGTGCAATGTTTGTTGATTATAATTTATGATCAGAATTCTGATTTTATTTACAGAACAAGAGGTAGTTGAATTTAAGTAATTTTTCCTACAATGTCAGTCATTTTTTTCATTTATGGTGCATACTTTATCGGCATAACTTATCAAGTTTCCAAACTGGAAATTTTTTTATTTGCAGAATGCTAGTATACCTTTAAAATGTATACATACTGTCACGATGATTTTGTTAACCACTTATGAATGAATTCGAATACCCCAGAACGAAACTATCACAGGTAATTCTTGCAAAAATATACTGTCTGACAATCTCACCTCAAAATACAGAAATAATATAACAACCCACATCAAGATATATGTTAGATATGTTAATGTAATTTGGCAGAAAAAGTTTACAACAATGCCAAATTATGACAATTGTTGAAACATCCAATATTTGATTTTTTGTATCATTTAACAGGCATTCTGAGAGTATTGCATGGCAATACATAGTCCCCTACCGGGTAAAAATTCATTATACTGGAACAAAATGCTAACTTGTTCTATAACTTGTCATGGTGTAAACAAAAAGAAAATATCAAGTCAATATCTTCAAGCATGACTAATAAACTGCTTCGCTGAGCGCAGCTGGATACGCCCGCAGAGGTCCAACCCTGAACAGTTGGGGCAAAAATGGACACAATATTCAAGCTTGATACAGGTCTGAATTTGGATTGTAATTAAATATTTGATATATTATAGGTTTCTGAATAAATGTAGTCAAAGAACTTGAAATTGGTTATATGAAAGATTTCTTGCTGTTGTGCAATACACTGTGCTGTTGCGCAATACTTAGTAAATCTGTTGTCAGACAAAAAACAAATAAAATCTTATAACTCGGAAACGTAAAATCGAAAATTTATAGAAATCAAAACGGAGCTTACAAAAATAGATATAAACAATTTACCAAAGTTTCATAAAAAAAGCTGAAAGCATTTTTTTGAATTATTGTCCGAAAACTGGAAAATCCCCATTTTGTAATAAATAAAACCCCACAAATCGGAAACGTATAGTCTGAAATTTATAAAAATCAAAAGGGAGCTCATGTCAATAGATATAAACCATTCACCAAAGTTTTTTGCAAATTGGTGAAATTGTTTTTGAGTTGTTGTCTGAAAACTGGAAAATCCCCACTTTTTTAATGAATAAAACCCCAAAACTCGGAAACAGTAAATCCGAAATTTATAAAAAACGAAAGGGCGCTCACGTCAATAGATATGAACAATTCACAAAAGTTTCATGTAAATTGGTGAAATTGTTTTCGAGTTATTGTCCCAAAACTGGAAAATCCTCCCTTTTTTAATGAATAAAACCCCAAAACTCGGAAACGGTAAATCCGAAATTTATAAAAAACAAAAGGGAGCTCACGTCAATAGATATGAACAATTCACAAAAAGTTTCATGCAAATTGGTGAAATTGTTTTTGAGTTATTGTCCGAAAAAATTGGAAAATCCCCCCTTTTTTAATGAATAAAACCCCAAAACTCAGAAATGGTAAATCTGAAATTTATAAAAAACGAAAGGGAGCTCACGTCAATAAATATAAACAATTCACCAAAGTTTCATGCATATTGGTTAAAGCGTTTTTGAATTAATGTCCGACATGTTGACGACGGACGGACAGACTGACAACGGTATACCATAATACGTCCCGAAACAGACGTATAAAAACAGTGTGGAAAACTGAATGTATGAGTGAATTTTTTCAAGTCAAAGGACCATAACTCTGCACAAAATTATCAGACCGAACAAAAATTTGAACTTTATCTGTAACTTGTCATGATAAAACTAAATATCAATTGTCAATCAATATCTTCAAGCATGATGAAAAAAAGTGAGGAAAACCTATAACACTCTAACATTAGATATGATTAATAGTTCTCTAAAATGAGATATGATGTAATACAATGTAAATCTATTTTCAAATTACAATCAAATATAATTAATAGTTCCAAATATTTTTTCTTTCTTTTGTCACTAACTAATAAAGATTTGTAACTTATCTATAAAATGTCAACAACTTGTATCTACACAATGTAATGTAATGAAATATATACCTTAATAAAAATAGATTATTATCTAATTAAAGGATTTCACTTAATAAAAAAAATATATATATATATACATGTAGCATTCAGAAAATTAGTTTATACAAAATAACATATAAACCTGCCACAAAATTCCTTAATTTACCAAAGAATGTCTTTTAAAAAATGAGTTATCTCCCTTTGTACAGATGTATGGTTTAACATAGTACTCTAACATTAGTTATGGAGTTTTTTTATGGACCAAAACACTGGACTAAATCATCAGACCGGAATAAAATTTGAACTTGATCTAATACTTGTCATGATAAAACTATATACCAAATATCAAATCAATATCTTCAAGAACGAAGAAAAAAAGTGTGGAAAACTGAGTTGCCGGACTGACTGATGGACAGAGTGCAAACCTAAAGTCCCCTTCGACTTCGTCGGTAGGGGACTAAAAATAATCATATTCTGTGTTTCAAGTTTATACCTGGTTGGCATCAGATGGTTGTAATTGCATATCTTTAGGAAACTCTTAAGTTTAGATCTATCCTTTTGTTTCTTTTTCCCCATACTTTTTGTGATCTTTCTGGGGTATCTGTCAATTCCAGCAACAAGTGCATGACCATAGGGTTTTTCTGTCGTACCTTCATCATAATTCTGAAAAATAAATATAAATTCACTTTCAATTGATCTTTTTTTCTATTTGACAAACATGAAAAATTACTGCAAAAGGGGAAATAAAGCTAATGCAGTACCTAATTCAATTCCGTAGGTGGAGAAGACTTTTTCCAGCAGGTGACAGTTAACACACATTTTTAAATTCAGCTATTAGATCTTACTCCAGAATTGAAAACCAAAGGATATTTGATAAAATGCTTCAATGAGCGCAGCCTGATACGACCGCAGAGGTCGATCCCTGAATAGTTGGGGCAAGTTTGGACACAATATTCAAGCTTGATACTGTCTGAGTTTGGATTGTGATCAAATTTTTGATAAATATAGGTTTCTGACACAAAATAAATGTGGTCAAAGATCTTAATAAAATGCTTCGCTGGGGCGCAGCTTGATACGACCGCAGAGGTCGAACCCTGAACAGTTGGGGCAAGTATGGACACAAAATTCAAGCTTGATACAGCTATGACTTTGGATTGTCATTAAATATTTGACACAGCATAGGTTTCTGACACAAGATGAATGTGGTGTAAGAACTGGAAAAAATTTAATTTACCTATTATGGTGGAATATCCGTAAACTAAATTGTTTGTTAATTTCAATATATCAAAGAATATGTAGAATTCAATGTTAGATGTAATGTAATAAAGTTGAAATTTGGACCGTTTTTGTTCAAGTGGACCAATTTGGTAACATGTATAAATAATCAAAAATCTAAATACATGGGAGCCCATTTAAATACATCATAAAGGTATTAAAATAGAAAGTGACATCATAGTCATGGCTAAATATAAACAAAAATCCTTAATCAGCAACATTTAAAGTAATATCTAAAAATAAAATTCCTTTGTAACCATAAAAGCCCATTTAAATACATCATAAAGATATTAAAATAGAAAATGACATCATAGTCATGGCTAAACATAGCAAATAACCCTTAATCAGCATCATTTAACAGTAATATCTAAAAATGGAAATTACATCATAAAGGTATTAAAATAGAAAATGACATCATAGCTATATATAGTCATGGCTAAAAATAAACAAAATCCTTAATCAGCATCAGCAACATTTTATAGTAATATCTAAAAATAAAATTCCTTTGTAACCATAAAAGCCCATTTAAATACATCATAACAGATATTAAAATAGAAAATGACATCATAGTCATGGCTAAACATAGCAAAAACCTTAATCAGCATCATTTAACAGTAATATCTAAAAATAAAAATTTCTTTGCAACCATAAAAGTAAAATAGAAAATGACATCATAATCATAGCTAAAAATAAAAAAAAAATTTTTTTATTGGCAAATTTTAAATGGAGTTTATTATACTAAAACAATAAATTTGCAACCATAAACATGATAAAACCCCATTTAAACACATCATAAAAGTATTAAATAATTCAACTACATCATAAGGCTATAAAAATAGAAAATGACTTCATAGTCAAGGCTAAAGGTAAACAAAAAATCTTCATCAGCAAAATTTTATATTGGCAAATTTCCAATGAAGTTTATTACACTAAAATTGTTGGCAAATTTCCAATGCATTTATTAACAATAAAGTTATTGGCAAATTTCCAATTTACATAATTTAAAAGCAGTGTAGATGAGATATTTAAATGAGTTTGAATTACCAACCTTACACTGCTTTTAAATAATGTTCTTTACTCAATTATTTGTCTATTAAAATGGAAACCCTTGTTTTTTAACCTTTTTTCCCCTTATTCCTTAAACATTAGAGCCATAACCACCCCCCCCCCCCCCCCCCCAAAGCCAATTATTACTTTCCAATGTAACCTAAATTTCCAATATACATAATTTTAAATTTCAATTCCTCATGATATATAACCGTATCATTATTATTTTCTTTCATATATAAATCTGAAACAACCATCTTTAAATGGAAAATTTTAAAGAAAAAAAAAGGAAAAAAAAAATCCTACCCCCCACACATTTTTTCAACCCCCTTTTGATTCATCATCCCCCACCTCAATCACAACCTTCAATTTGTGGTATGGTACATTGCAATACAATTTCACAGAGATCCATACACTTGAACACAAGTTTTTGTTGCAAACTAAAAAAATCCTTATTTTCGACCAATATTTGGCCCCTTCTTCATAAATGTTTGAGCAATTAACCCCAAAACTCAATTCCTACTTTCTCTTCGTGATAAAAAATAACTAACTTAAAATGTAAATTTTAAACAAAAAAAAAAGGAAAAAAAAAAATTACCCCTTTTTTGACCCCCTCCCCCCTTATGATTCATCACCCCCACCCCCCTTTCCCCCCAAACCAAGCTCAATAACAGCCTTGCCTTTGTGGTATGGTACCTTGTAATACAATTTTAGAGAGATCCATACACTTGAACACAAGTTATTGTCTAGAAACTAAAAAATGCTTATTTTAAACCCCTTTTTAGGCCCCTTATTACTAAACGTTTTGGGCAATTACCACAACACTCAATTCCAGCTTTCCCTTTGTGAAATGGAACCTTGTAGTAAAATTTCAGAAAGATCCATACACTTACACACAAGATATTGTCATGAAACTAGAAAAATGCTTATTTTCGGCCCCTTTTTGGCCCCTAATTCCTTAACTGTTGGTACCATAACCCCCAAAATCAATCCCCACCTTCCTATTGTGGTATTGAACCTTATAGTAAAATTTCATAGAGATCCATTCACTTAAACTAAAGTTAGAGTGCGAAAACCATTGTGTATTCGGACGACGACGCCGGACGACGACGACGACGACGACGACGCCAATGTCATACCAATATACGACCTCAAAATTTTTTTGCGGTCGTATAAAAATCTATTGCACAACACTTTCAATTGAAAATTTCTTCTTGAAACTTTTCAAAAAATTTGAAGAAAAAAAAGTCCCCCCCCCCCCCTTGGAGTAATTACCCAAACTCAATCCCAGCCTTTCCTTTGAGGTATAGAACCTTGTAATTCAATTTTAGAGAGATCCATACACTTAAACACAAGTTATTGTCTGGAAAAAAAGAAAAATGCTCGTTTTTGGCCCCTTTTTTGCCCCCTAATTCCTGCATGTTTGGGGCAATTACCCCCAAACTCCATCCCAGCCTTCCCTTTGTGATATGGAACCTTGTGGTACAATTTCAGTGAAATCCATACACTAACACATAAGTTATTGTCCGGAAACTACAAAAATGCTTGTTTTTGGCCCCTTATTCCTAAACTGTTTGTACCATAACCCCCAAAATTAATCCCAACCTTCCTTTTGTGGTATTAAACCTTCTTGTAAAATTTCATAGAGATCCATTCACTTAAACTAAAGTTATTGTCCGGAAACCAAAAATGTCTTCGGACGAGACGATGACGACGTCATAGCATTATACGAATCCAAAAATTTTTTTGCAGTCCTATAAAAATGAGAGAAGAAACAGGAAATACTTTATGAAGTCCACACATTTTCATATCAAAATCTAATACAATGTTACATTAATTTTTTTCTTTATGACACAAACATTTTGATATTGGATGTTACTAAAATATAAACATTAGCTGGAGGTATAGGGGCAGGGCTGAGATCTCACAAAATATGTTTAACACCATCTCATTTTTGCATCCGTCCAAAATCAGGAACCTCTAGCCTGTGCAAGGCTTGTGTGTTTTTTTTAATTTTGGTTCATTTGTATGTTTCAGAATTTATTGTGGCGTCCATTTCGCTAACAAGTATACATTATTGTTAAGAGCCAGCAGACGCCCGCCTCCAGGTGAGAGATTTTCTCACAGCTTTTAGGACCCATTGGTGGCTTGGGCTGTTACCTGCTCTTTGATCGGGTTGTTATTTCTTTTACACATTCCCTGTTTCCATTCTCTATTCTATACAATTACTAAAGATCAAAGAATTTCTTTCTTTTCAATTTTGAAGGGCCAGCTAAAAATCAGGAAGGGCAAGTAAACTTAGAAAACTGTTAGCCATCTTGGCCAGTTAAAAAAAAATCTTATTTCTATTCCTGGCAGGGGTTTAATAATATTGTATTTTTCACCTTGAATCTGCACATTCACATATAAAAGTATGTTCAACATAAATAAGGTGAAAAATTAATTAATGTTGCTGTCCATTCAAAACGTCAAAGCATATGAACCAGGACATAAAGCGGGAACAGCGAAAAATAAAGTTATATACATTATTTGTTCTAATCTGATTAAATTACAGATGCTGTGTCCAAGCTTTGCTTAGGAAGATCTGACAACACTTCGTTTTACTGTCAGTTCTGGTATTTACTACATCAGCCAATGAAATTTCAGCCTTCAAACTTTTGAAGGTGTGTATTAATCAGATAAAACCAAAGGATCCGGAAGAAAAGCCTGTGAAACAAAAAGTAGAATATAATTGAGCTTTTCCAGATCCTTAAAACCAAAGCTTAGACATGATCTGTATTGTAATCAGAATGTATTTGTTCTAAAATTAACTGTAATATAAATTGGTTGTTAATGTGAACAATTATAAATCATTACCTACTTGGAATGACTGCTACAAATGATTCAGACAATAGAAATAGGCATGTTGTACATCTATTTTGTAGAGAATTTAATGGAGATTTACTACATAACAAGTTTTAGTGGAATAGACAACCGTGGAATCTAAATATAACGGAAGTTCGCAACCGTGTGTCATTTCTCAAAAATACCAGTTAGGTACCTTGTGTTATATTAAGGTATATAGGAAAAAAAATTTAAAAGACAAGTGCCTGTGTTTACTGATCATGATTAACTTTGTAAAAAGACTTACAGAAATAAATGGGGAATGTGTCCATGGGACACAGATGATGCCCCCGCTTGCATATCATATAAAGTTATAAAGGTACATAACTGAAGACAGGGTTCGACATTAACTTTTATACCAACTTGTCCAGTTGGGCAAGTGCCCTATTACTTTTACTTGTCCGAAAGTGAAATCTACATGCCCAAACTTTTACATGCTATTTTTGTGGTTGTAATGTAGTACATGCAGATAAAATATAGTTATCATGTATATGGGGTGTAAATTGATTATGGAGTATGAAAATATACTATGAGGCATATATGAGCCGAGGAGGGAGGGAAAAGATCGATGAATATACGGGAATTGGATCATTTACATAGAGATACTTATTTCATAATAATTTATCTAAGAAATGCCATTTCAAATAACCCTTCTTGATAAACTGACAACTGACAAATTTGTTAAAGTTTAATTTCATTTTCTCTTTCAAGCTTTTACGTTTTTCCATCTTAGGGAAATACACATCCGATGTCAAATTATAAAGTTAGAACAACGAAAATAGACCTCCGCTTTCCATTGGTCGGTGGGAATAACACGTGCGTCGGAAACGCCCGAGTGGTGTCCCGATGGATAACGATAATGACGAAGCAACACCGCGGCAGCCTGATTGGCCAATATTTTTAAACGTGATCTATTTTTGGAAAAATGGGGAATTCAGTGCGAACAATTGACGAAATATACGCATTGAAGGGGGGTTAAGACCACTTTACTCGACCGTGCGGTGTTATCACTGAGTAATCTATGGACAAAACAACAGACACTATTGATTTTGTGAAATTTTAATCATATAACACTTTTTTTTTCACTTGCCCAATCGGACAACCAAGATGATGTTTTTACTTGTCCGAATACGGCATTAGCTTGCCCCGGGCAATCGGACAACCGTAAGTGTCGGACCCTGGAAGAACAGTAAAAGTGACACTACCCAAATTTGTACTTGATCTGAGTTTTGTGGTAATAAGTATTGTGTAAAAGTTTCATAACATTTTGTTGAGGCAAACTTAAGTTAGAGAACGGAAACGAAAAATTCAGCAATTTTTCCATTTGTAAAGGGGCATTACTCTAAAACAGTAACAGTGACGCCACCAAAATTCGAACTTGATCTGTATTTTAAGGTAAAATGCATTGTGTACAAGTTTCATAACATTTGGTTCAGGTAAACTTAAGCTGGAGAACAGAATGAAAAATTCAGCAATTTTTCCATTTGTAAAGGGGTATAACTCTGGAACTGTTAAAGTGACACCACCAACATTCAAACTTGATCTGTATTATGTGGTAATAAGCATTGTGTATAAGTTTCATAACATTTGGTTGAGGTAAACTTAAGTTGGAGAACAGAAACAAAAAATTCAGACAGTTAAAGTGACGCCACCAAAATTCAAACTTGATCTGTGTTTTGTGGTAATAAGCATTGTATATAAGTTTCATACCATTTGTTGGAGGCAAACTAAAGTTAGAGACCAGAAACCAACTTTGGGACGTACGTACGGACGGACAAGGGTAAAACTTAATGTCCCCTCTGCTACAGCAGGGGCATAAAAAGTTCTACAAAAAGTATTACATTATCAATGATCCATGAATATGTGGTAATTTATGTCAGATGGACATGTACACCTTGCAGTCATTCCATACACCAAATATGTAGGCGACCTATTGCTTATATATATATAATTATAGTATCTGAATAAAACACAAAATCTTAACATTGACCCGTGAACCATGAAAATGAGGTCAAAGCCAGATATACTCAGCCAGACAGACATGTACAACTTAAAATCATTCCATACACCAAATATAGACCTACTACTTAGTTCTAATAGTAGATTTGACCATGAAAACTTTACCTATAACTGATAAATGAAATGAGTTTGAGGTAAGGTAAATCCTGTCTGATGGACATGTAGACCTTACATGGATCAATATCACATACATGTATACCAAATATAGTTATAATAATACTCATAAAAAGTGAGAAATTCACATGACAAAAAAAACTTTATAGGAAAATGTACTTCAGTTGTTGTCATTTGTTACTGTAGATCATGTTTTTTTGTTTATTGTTTTGTACATAAATCAGGCTGTTAGATTTCTTGTTTTGATTGTTTTACATTTGTGTGTTTTTCGTTTATTGTTTTGTACATAAATCAGGCTGCTAGATTTCTTGTTTTGATTATTTTACATTTGTGTGTTTTTTCGTTTATTGTTTTGTAGATAAATCAGGCTGTTAGATTTTTCATTTTGATTGTTTTACATTTGTAATTTCAGGGCTTTTTATAGCCAACTACGTGGTATAGGTTTTGATACATACATTATACATACAAGACGTCAATTTACATGTACAAGCAAAACCATCCAGTCTAAACAGCTACACCAACATAATACTACATTGTAAATACAACATATAATTCTTGAAGAATTAAAAATTAGTCATAAGGTCACCCTTAACAAATTCTTAGTTTGATAGATGTTGCCTACCCATGCCTTGTAGGGTTGAGTAGGTAGGTAGGGATCTTTTTTTTTTTTGGCCAACAGCATAAGTTACATGTTTAAGACAAGAAAACGATGTTAGAGCAAGAAAAACACTTAAACAAAAATATTGAAACAATTTGTGTTGTAAAATTTATGGGTAGGCTGCTTTATATGTGGGGAGGTAGGCAACGCCAAACAAATTTAATTTTAAAATTAAATGGCCTAAATACTGGATAAGTCTGGCAATTATGAACTCTTCTCAATTTGGACAGTCGGACAATACACAAATGGGTTAGGAACAGCCCTGATTTGTTATCTGATAGGAACAAAGCTAAGGTCACTTTTTACTTCCATGTTAAGGAAAGGATTTACAAAGTATGGTCTTAATCGCCTCAGACATTAAGAACTAAGTGTTAAAGTCAATAAAAGATGACAGATGATTTTTATTAAAGACAGTTCCTTTTGTCAAATATCTAGTTACTTCAAAATTGTGTTTTTCACCTTGAAGCTGCACATTCACTGATGTTCAACATAAATTAGATGAAAAATTAATTAATGTTGCTGTCCATTCAAAATGTCAAAGATAATATACCAAGACATAAAGCGGTAACAGCCGAAGTAGTTATATGCATTGCTTGTATAAAATTAATTTGAATCGAACAATCCAGGAATAAAACGTCAATCAAAAAAAAATATATAGTTGTGTTTCTGCCTGCCTACCTGCCCTAAATATTCATCTCTAACCCAACACATATTAAAAGGATATTTTTGGTTAATCAATGTTGAAGTGCAGAACATACAAATGTATACCTTTATACATGATAGTCTATGAAAAATATTAATAAAAAATAAATGTGGATAGTGTCCACATGTGGACTCAGATGATGCCCCCGCTTGCATATCATATAGTTATAAAGGGACATAACTGAAGACCGTTAAAAGTGACGCTTCCCAAATTTGAACTTGATCTGAGTTTTGTGGTAATAAGCATAGTGTGTAAGTCTCATAACATTTGGTTGAGGCTAACTTAAGTAGAGAGCAGAAACTAAAATTTCAGCAATTTTTCTATTTGTAAACACGCATAACTCTAGAACGGTTGTGTATAAGTTTTATAACATTTGGTTGAGACAAACTAAAGTTAGAGAACAGAAACGAAAAATTCAGCAATTTTTATGTTTATAAAGGGACATAACTCAAGAATGGTTAAAGTGTTGCCACCAAATTTCGTACTTAATCTGTGTTATGTAGTAATAAGCATTGTGTTTAAGTTTCATAACATTTGGTTGAGGCAAACTAAAGTTAGAAAACGGAAACAAAATATTTGTACTTGATCTTAGTTTTGTGGTAATGATAATTGTGTATAGGTTTCATAATGTTAGGTTGGGGCAAACTTAAGTTACAGAATGGAAACTAAACATTTTGCAATCTTTCAATTTCATAATGTTTGTGTTTATAAAGAGGCATAACTCAATAATGATTAAAGTGACACTACCCAAATTCAACTTGATCTGTGTTTTATCAGTGGAAGTCAAAATTAAACATTGCATTGTATAAAGCATTGATTGTAGTTGATTGAACTATAATCATGGACAAAGGAAGATAACTCCAATTTTAAAAATTACTTGATATTTAGAAGAAAATAAACATTTTGCAATTTTTCCATTTATAAAGGGGCATAACTCTAGAACGGTTGAAGTGACGCCACCAAAATTCAAACTTGATCTGTGTTTTGTTGTAATAAGCATTGTGTATAAGTTTCATAACATTTGGTTGAGGCAAACTAAAGTTAGAGAACAGAAACGATTAATTCAGCAATTTTCCATTTGTAAAGGGGCATAACTCTAGAACGGTAAAAGTGACGCCACCAAAATTCAAACTTGATCTGTGTTTTGTGGTAATAAGCATTGTGTATAAGTTTCATAACATTTGGTTGAGGCAAACTAAAGTTAGAGAATGGAAACCAATTTTGGGACGTACGTACAGACGGACAAGGGTAAAACTTAATGCCCCCTCCGCTATGGCGGGGGCATAAAAAACATCACTTTATACATTCCCAACCACCCATATTTTATTGTGCCATTACCACTTTACAAGTACATATATATTTTTGTTTTGGCTTTGGAAAAAACCTAACATGAACAAATGTCTTATCAAATCTAACTAACCTTTACAATGACAGCTTTACGTCCTGCAAATCGGCCATTCAGCACAAGAACTACCTTGCCTGTTTTCATAAACTTGCCCATGGCTAAAAGTAAAAACAAACTTTTAACTACAATCTGTTAATGATCACTACTATCATGACTATATATACATTTGTAGATTTAGCTCAACATTAACTTTATACCAATCTGTCCAAGAAATTCATTTACCAGTACATGTAGAACTTTCTAAAGAAGAATATTACTTGCTAGATTTCAAAATCATAAAACATCATGCATAATTAGAAATTTTAGAGCAGGTTACTATCTCGGGAATATTAAAACTAAAATAAAGATGCAGATATTTTTTTGTTCCTGTCAAACATTGGGTCCTGCATGTAAGACAGATTTGCCAGTCAACTGTTTGCCAGACCTACTTTTTATTGAAAAAAAATAAACAGTTCCCAGATGGATTAAATAAGATACACTTTAAACCCTTGACTAGAACAACCAGGTTGGCGCCTGTTAAAACGTTTAAACCCACTGCATTTGTATGCACCTGTCCAAAGTCAGGAGCCTGTTGTTCAGTGGTTGTCGTTTGTTGGTGTAGTTCATAAGTGTTTCTCGTTTTTTATGTAGATTAGACCGTTGGTTTTCCTGTTTGAATTGTTTTACACCTCATTTTGGGGCCCTTTACAGCTTGCTGTTCGGTGTGAGCCAAGGCTCCTTGTTGAAGGCAGTACTTTGACCTATAATTGTTTACTTTTTATACATTGTGACTTGGATGGAGAGTTGTCTCATTGGCACTCGTAACACATCTTCTTATTTAGATTAATGATATGATCATAGGGTGTTTTAATGACTGAGACCACATTCATCTAAAATCATCCTGCAAAACAAAATAAGTACTTCATATATTTAATGATTTTATTCTTTGTGGAGTATTGAGAAATCAATAACTCATTTGCCTGAACACTCTGGTCAAACTCAAAGTCATCTTAATCAGTATTTAATTGAGGTAAGTTTTTTTTACCAGGTTTTGATCCCTTCCAGAATTTAATTGGCCACAATGCAGATATAAAGGAAACTGCAAACAGTCAACTAATTACAATAATAACTGATAGGATGTGAAACAAATCCTGGATGAAAACTGGTTCATGATATTTAGCTGAAATGCTTATAAAACAGTTATGTTTACTGATTTGACCATTTTGTTTATGAATTTCGACTTAATTAAAGGTAAACAAGGATTCTTCATGCGAGACAATGGGAAGAACCAGGACCAACAGAAATTTCATTTTAGTCAGTCATTGGGTCAAACACATTTGCCATACCCTCTAAAATTCTCCCCACCCCCCTGGTCTGACAGGGCAGATGATTAGCATCTAGTGTTGGATAATCGGTTGAAATTATCCACCGATTACCTATTACTATCGGTTGAGAGCAACCAAAACTATCGGTTATAATCGCATCATTATACCTTGTTCTTTTTTTTTATATGAAATCATGCATTCAGCCACATTGTATATGTCTAATGCATATATTCCATATCATTTATTACCGACGACACTAAAATTTCTAAATTTCAATGGCATCACTCACATTATTTCAAATACATAGCTGTATCAAAATTTTAAGGTTCAACATAACCTTTTGACTAATATGGCCTTATTTACACCACAAATTTTACTCTGAGTACAGACAAACCTGTGCACCTGGAAAAGTTTTAAGGCATGGCAGGAACTAGATAGTTAAATTTTAAATGCATTTTATGTTTCAGAAAATTATAAACTTTTCTGGATTTTGCTATTCATTTTTTTTCATTCCTGCAGAAGGTGCCAAAATAAACTAAGTTGGGAAAGAGGTTTGAGAAGCTCCCCTCATATAATAAATGTTGTGAGTAGTATTGATTTAAATGGACAATAGACATCTGCAAACAATAGGGGATTTAAACTGTGTAACTGAGTGGACCTATCAAATGAAACTCGTATATGTAAGAGAATGATAATCCCTTTCTTCATGATTAAGTACGAGCGTTAGCGAGTACTTATCATGAAGTAAGGGATTATCATTCTCTTACAAACTTAGAATATTGTAAAGTGGTCAAGGTTCTCAAATGATCTCTTAATTGGTTGTATTTAAGAATTAGTTTCATTGTCAGTGCAATGTTTTTAATTAATGCATGACTTCCTTTTTAGGCATTTCATTTATGGATAAGTTTTAGTGATGGAAGGACTTTCATATCATTTGGGAATTATTTTTAAAAAATATTCGTTATAGATATTAGGTGACACAACAGAACAAAGAAATTGTAGGAATTGTATATGTTTCCTGATTGTGAGTATGAATGTATATCATGTAATATTTTAGTGAGAAATTATCCTTTTTTTTAATTTACAGTTTACATGTAAATCAAATGATACATTTGAGTTACAACTAAATTTTATTTAACAGCCAATATTTTGGTCTGGCTTTTTACATCAAATACTATTTCATTATGTCAGGGAAATTTTCAAATAAAATGCCTTTAAAAGTTTTTAATATGTTCAAAACTAAAATTAAATTCCTGTTTTTTTAAATTAATTTTTTTATTTTGTCAGAATATTGGAAATAACTATTCTTCCAAACTGCTGATCCAGTAATCAAAGTTTTTGAAAGCTAAATATTAAGTTGTTGTTTTTTTTTATTTCAAAGCTTCTTTTTTTTTTCTTTTTTTGCAAATGCCTTGATATTGTTTAATTATTTAGTAATTTGAAGAATATTATAATAATAACATTCACGGTACCAATTTTACTGCACAGTAAACTTCAACTTATTTAGAGTTTTTTCTTTGTTTCACAATTCAACTTTTAGTCACTGTGTGATAAATCCTTTCAATCTGATAAATGTGCTTGGGGGCAGTTGTAACTCATTTATAGAAACTCTTTGTTTTGAACTGTAAATAGACCCAAATAATAGGATAATCCCTTACTAAGAACATGATTTGCATTCATTCTTCACAACTAAGAGGCATCAGATCCTACAATTTCATTGGTTGAGAGCACTTTGCTTTATTCTAAATGCATTTGTTTATTTTGCTATCTTCTGCAGACTGGCTAAAAATGCACATCAAAATCCAGGTAAGTTTTTAATCTTCTGAATCATAGACTACATATAACTTTTATATATCTAGGTCCTGCCATGCCTTAAAACTTTCCTAGATGCATCAGTTTGTCTGTAGTCATAGTAGATTTTGTGGTGTAAACACGGCCATATTTTTCAATTCCTTTTGATGAACCTTAATGCTTCTCATTAAATAAAGATATATAAAGTATTGCATGTTTAAGCAATTTAAAATTAATAAATAAAATAATGCATTTGCATTGAAATATATACATTTAACTAAGGGGATCCAACCAATGTCTGTTATTTTGTGTGGAATGCATATTTTTCACTTTTGTGGTCATTATTTTTCTGTCAGCGGTGTCATTCATGCATCTGTACTTATAATCGTAAGAATACAGAATTCCTTCATAGTTGGTCTCGTACATATTTCAATGGGGGACAAAGAAGAAAAATTTACAAAAATAAACGATGTTTGACAAGCAATTTGGAAAGGAATATGACGGTTTAATGCAACAAATGGATGAAACATTAATAAAAAGCAATCTGCACCACGTTCTAATATAGCAACAAATTTATTTTGTTGAAAATCAGAATGATTTTATGTATGCTCTCAAGCAACAAGTACTGGAAGTGAAAGAAAATGTTTCATTTTAAAAAAGTTATTTATTTTAAATAAAATATGAACAAGTCAATGCCTTTACCACATTTATAAAGAAAGAAATTGCTTATGTCTTTGATTAAAGGATGATAGACATTGTTATTGTCACCTATTGATAGATTTTGTTACAATTTGTTTGACCACGTATGTAAAATGCAAACTGGAAACGGACCGGAAGTTAATATGCTATAAGTCCGGAAACTCTAACGACAATAGACTGAACAAAATCCCAATCGATTATCGACATCACCAAGCAAAAACCGATTTCCAACTTATTCCAATCATCAGAACAATATTATTAGCATCATCTCTGGAATGACTTTCAATTTAGATCAAAATTGAGGATGTGGACAGTAAGAAACCATCAATCTTTTTTACTCAACTGCTAAAGATACATGTATGTAGAAGCTAGATAAAAACTAATAAACATTTTTTTTTTTCGTGGATCAGTGCCACTAGATCTAAGATATATTACAATCAGTAGAAAAGGACAACAACTTACATTTCTAGAACTACAATTTACAGTTTTGGGCAATTTTATCCCAATAAAGGACAATGTGGACAGGGGCCTAAATGGTAAAAGTAAGAGAGGGCCCAATTTTTTACCCTACCACTTGAGCACTGAAAGACACTTGACATGTGCCATGATGTGGTCCATAAATTTCGTTAATTTTGGGGATTTTTCATAAAGAAGTTCAAGAAGCATATGAATTCCAGCAAATTCGTATATCTGATAACCCAAAAGTATAATGATAAATGGAACAAACTGGCACAAATAAACTTCTGTAGATAATCATAACATAGCTAGCACCTGCATCATACTAATTAATTGTATACAATAGTTGCCAGCTATATTATCATACATCATGTACATACAAGTTTGCAACCAGTGACAGTGTGAAAACTCTATACGCTAAGATTCATGCTGACCATTTGACTAAAATGGCTGCGTTTTCACCTTAAAATTTACTCCACTACAGACAAGCCTGTGTATCTGGAAAAGTTTTAAGGCATACCATTTTCCACTTTTTCATTCCTACAGAAGATGTCAAAATAAATTAAGTTGGGAAGGTTTGATAACTTCCCCATAAGTAAATTATGATTGAATTGAACTGTATTGATTGACATGGACAATACTCAATAGAGGGACAATAATAATTAGTGATTTACATGGTGTCACTGAGTGGACCATAAAAAGTGAAACAACTGTTTCAAGTTTATCAACTTTTGAACTTTTGAAGAGAAGAAAAATGTGCAAAGCAATTAATTATCTAAAACTAAAATTTTGAATTTTATTGATCAAGCCTCAAGGCGTGCTGTCTCAAACTTTTCCAGATACACATCATCACATTTTGTCTGTACCCAGAAAATTTTTGATGGGAAAACAGTCATTTTAGCCCAAGGGTACACACGAAACTTAAAGACAAATTTTACAAATGAGACCATCAATTATCAACACTGACTCTTACAAAAAACAGAATAATACATGTAAAATTTAACAGTAACACACCAATGTTTCAAACAAACACTGGCTACATTTGGTTCAAAATGCAAGTCTCATAAATTGTCTTCCTTGCAGGCCCCAGAGTCTGGCAGAGAGAATTATCGACATATTTCATGTTCAGATTTGTATGTTATGAAAATTTGTTAATAAATCATAGTTGAAGTGAACAGTTCCCAGACTTATCCTTTTTTTTGGAGTAGGGTTGTACATATAACTTACTCTTGGACAGATCGTGTGGTTGTAAATCATACACACGAATAAGACAGAATTCTACAAAAAGTACAAATACTTTTGGTTTTCAGTACCGAGTGGTACTTCTAAACCATAAAAAATAAGCTATAAATGGAACACCGAAAATTGCTCTATGACGAGGATTAATAGTGAATTTAGCGGACGTATTTTAAGTTATAAATCAGAAATAGGGTGTCTGAAGTTATGCTATGATACATAGGATCATATATTTATTGCTAGAAAGAAAAAATATTTATTTCTGAATGATGATGACGGTGGATTGTCTATTCCTAGTCACAACACTTGCCTTTGGGTAATGGCCGAAGAAGAAAAGAACGTTTAAATCTCGTCCACGACGATATGAAATACAAAAGTCCGGATCATAGTAGGCGACAACCCATAAATTCCGTAGCAAGTAAATAACAAAAATGATCAAAAATACCGAACTCCAAGGAAAATCCAAAACGGAAAGTCCTTTATCGAATATTAATATTAATCAAAAGCTCAAACACATCAAACGAATGGAAAACAACTGTCATATTCCCGATTTGGTACAGGATTTTCCTTTAATAAGTAGAAAATAGTGGATTAAACCTGGTTTTATAGAGCCCGCGCGCTCCTAATGGGGTTTTTGATTAAGGGATTACGTGGCCATTTTTATAGTGATTATTTGATTACCAGACCAAATATTTCATGATTATTTGATTATTCGATAATCTAGGACTGTATTTTTGATTATTTGACTATCTTGTTTAAAAAAATAATTAATGATTAATGATTGGCAAAAAAATGTGATTGTGTGATTACTTGGACCTCACAATGAGGGGCCTCTTTATAGCTAGATAAACCTCTCACTTGTATGAGAGTCGCATAGAATTCCATTATATTGACAACAATGTGTGCGCAAAACAAACAGACATAATAGGTAAAAATGTGGCTATTGGTACTTTACGGAACGGAATTTCATTTAAGGTATCCATAGGGGGCATCTATCAAAATTTCGAAAAATCTTTAAAACAAAACAAACTTTAAATTTCGCTGTTTACAGTTTTCAATATACAGATAACACGATTGTATACTAAATCTCATCTTTATATGTAAAATGTGTAATAATGTATAACATCGGGAAATATCCTGTAGATATATACATGCATGTCCTGAATTTGACGCATTGACAGGTCAGAGAAAAAAGTCTTACTCCTTTCATTCATTATGATATCTAAGAAGACAGACCTCACGTCGTCCTCAGTTCCGGCGATGATTAGAAACATTTTGATTCTGATTTTAACTTTGAAATTTGTTATTCCGTTCCGTTCCGTTCCGCAAAGTACCAATTGCTCTGAGGAATTGGTATTTAACGGAATCAACGGAAACAGACATATGTAAAAGACGGTATGATTCCTTTTTTTGTTGTTGTCTTAACACTTTTTTTTAAATAAGTGGTAAGTGTTTTAGATATACATTCAATAACCAGAACAATAATTTATATGAAATAGGCAAGTCAAACAAAAAGTATTACTCCTTTCATTCCGGCGTAATTATATCTAAGAAGACAAGACACAACGGGATGTTGTCCTTTCCGACGATGATTAATATTGATTCTGATTTTAACTTTTTCAATTGATTATTCCGTTCCGCAAAGTACCAATTGCTCTGAGGAATTGGTATTTAACGGAATCAACGGCCCCAGCTTGTCTGGCAAAAGTCCCACGGCCCCAGCTTGTCTGGAAAAACAGCCGTTGGCCGTCAGAGTAATCTCAGACTACCAATGTATTAAATACACAAAAATGCATCCAGATCTTACCACATAACCTTCGACAGAGCCGGAACTACCAACCAACAGGCAGTCAGCTCAGGATGGCCCCAACACAATAAAAGCAAACAAATCTAAAGGCACGACAAAATGGCACAATATCTAACCAAAACTAAAAGATCAAACAAGACAGACCAATTAGAAACGCATGATTGTTTACCCTAATATAAATATGATCTTATAATATCAACTGCAAAATTTACTGAATACCTTCTCGTTTATTTTCTCTTAATTTTTTCAAAAAAGTACACCAAAATGTTTTGCACATCTTCGTATATATATAGCAGTGTTTAATTTGATTTTTTTTATAAATTTTTATGTTTTAACGCCACTTTTAAGCACCACTTTTGGGCTATTTCGTGGCTGCTAATTTTTATTGGTGGAGGAAGCCGGAGTGCCTGGAGAAAACCACTGACCTTCGAGATAAGAGTCGAGAGTACCCACACGAGCTGGGTTCGAACTCATAATCCTCAGTGTTGACTGGCTAGTGATTACAGTAGCAGAACTACTTAGACCACTCGGCAACCGAGCCACCGAGGCCTCTAGAGTAGCTTTTAAGAAGTGTGTACACCCTCCCTAGCCTTGCATGCAATAGGGGGTTTCAATACAGTCTGATATAGTCCATTTAGGGACCGGTCATTTTTTTTCTATAAGAGAAGACGAGAGGCAAAAATAAAAATTTGAAAGACATAAAAATTTCAACACCTTTACATTTTTTAAATACATTGTTTGATGTTGAATAATATTATCAATTTCAATAAAGCATGCATTGTATCAGTAGAAGATAATGAACTTCAGGATGGAGTGGAGGTAGTGATATCATGAAACTTTTTCCGATATGCTTAGCTAGTGTGATCTCATTTACATGTATCAACTTACTCTAATTAAGCACATTTTTTGTCTCATTACCTATTCTATATGCATGAAAGTATTGTTAGTTTTGTCAGTGCCGATCGAAGCGAGGCACATTTATTTTACACATTTTGCTATATCAAAATGGGTAAACGAACAGTTAACAGTGAACTGACCATTAAAACAGCTAACATGGGTATTTTTTTCAAATAACAGTTAACAATAATGACAATTTTAAGAAAACAGATAACAACTATAACTAGTTAATAACAGTTAACAGCACATATATTTTTAAGTACAATGTAACAGTTAACAACAGTTTAAAACACCTTAAGAGAAAAGATCTTGCCCCCTTTTCTTTTTTCCTTTTCATTTAAAAAACAAAAAAATATAATATTACTTTCTTTACATAGATATCTGTTTCCGTTCGATTCAGTTAAATACCAATTCCTCAGAGCAATTGGTACTTTGCGGAACGGAACGGAACGGAATAACAAATTCAAAAAGTTAAAATCAGAATCAATATTAATCATCGTCGGAAAGGACGACGGGAAGTCTTGTCTTCTTAGATATAATTACGAATGAAAAGAGTAATACTTTTTGTTGGTCTTGCCTATTTCATATAAATTATTGATCCGGTTATTGAATGTATATCTGAAACACTTACCACTCATTTAAAAAAAGAGGCGTAAGACAAAAAAATGAAGCATGCCGTCTTTTACATAGATGACTGTTTCCGTTGATTCCGTTAAATACCAATTCCTTAGAGCAATTGGTACTTTGCGGAACGGAATAGCAAATTTAGAAAGTTAAAATCAGAATCAATGTTTCTAATCATCGTCGGAAAGGACGACGGGATGTCTTGTCTTCTTAGATATAATTACGAATGAAAGGAGTAATACTTTTTGTTTGACTTGCCTATTTCATATAAATTAGTGATCCGGTTATTGAATGCATATCTTAAACACTTACATCTCATTTAAAAAAAGAGGTGTAAGACAAAAAAAATGAATCATACCGTCTTTTACATAGATTTCTGTTTCCGTTGATTCCGTTAAATACCAATTCCTCAGAGCAATTGGTACTTTGCGGAACGGAACGAAACGGAATAACAAATTTCAAAAGTTAAAATCAGAATCAAAATGTTTCTAATCATCGCCGGAAAGGACGACGGGAGGTCTGTCTTCTTACATATCATAATGAATGAAAGGAGTAAGACTTTTTTCTCTGACCTGCCAATGTCAAATTCATGATAATTTATCAGGACATAAATGTACATCTACAGGATATTTCCCGATGTTATACATTATTTCACATTTTACATATGAAGGTGAGATTTAGTATACAATTGTGTTATCTGTATATTGAAAACCGTAAACAGCAAAATTTAAAGTTTATTTTGTTTTAAAGATTTTTCGAAATTTTGATAGATGCCCCTTATGGAAACCTTAAATGAAATTCCGTTCCGTTCCGTAAAGTACCAATAGCCTAAAAATGTCAAAATTTGGGATACAGCAGTCAACATTGTGTTATAATCTTAATCACTATAAAAACAAACAACTATATCAACAAAGAAAAACAAAAAAGCATACAGACACTATAGACAAAGAACATAAGCAAACATGAAAGACAAGAACACAAAGTCGTTCATAAAGTCCATAAAAAAGAGACGAAGGATACCAAAGGGACAATCAAACTTATAAGTAGGAAATAAACTGACAACGCCATGGCTAAAAAAGAAAAAGACAAATAGACAAACAACAGTACACAAAACACAACATAGAAAACCAAAGCCCGAGCAACACAAACCACACACAAAAATATTCCATGAATATTTCTTATGTAGAAAATGGTGGATTAAACCTGGTATTATAGTTAGTAAAACCTTTCACTTATTTTTTGCTTGCTGCAGACGCTTTGTTTACAGTTAAATGCTTAGTTTTTAATTTTCACACAGATCTTCACTTTTTTATTTCTTATCATCTTTAAAGTGGCCCATATTCTTGTTTTAGTACTTATTCTGCCTCCGCCGTAGCGGAGGGGAATTAAGTGTTACCCTTGTCCGTCGGTCCGACCGTCCGTCGCGTACGTCCCCCAAAACTTTAATTTGCCTCAACCAAATGTTACAAAACTTATACACAATGATTATTACCACAAAACACAGATCAAGTTCAAAATTGGGTGGCGTCACTGTTACCTTTCATGAGTTATGCCCTTTATAAACATAAAAATGTCTGAATATTTCGTTCCGTTCTCTAACTTTAGTTTGCCTCAACCAAATATTATGAAACTTATACACAATGCTTATAATCACAAAACGATCTTATTAATAACTACGTGAATCCTGCATCTGTATGTGGAAGTTGACTCATGCATATTTACAAGCGGGGGCATCTGTGGCCCATAGACACATTCTCCATTTATTTTTAAAATGAATTTCTTAGTTTTTTAAATATCAAATTTTATCATGATTTTTACCTTGGATTATTTTACTAATGGGACTGGAAACTGTCGGTATTCTATATGCTGACTTGTTTGCCGAAATGTGTTGTTTACATGTTTCGATACATGTAAACAACATATTTCTGCGAACAACTGAGTCCGCATACAGAATACCGTTAAAACTGGTGGATTTAGAATAAAAAATTAAATATAAATGATAAAACTATTATAACAAATTTAATACATTTA